AACACCAAACATCTATTTACCAGACATTCTAACACCTTGCAAACCACACTGGTGAGAGCAATGGGACGATAGTGGGAGCAATCAAGTCCCGAAGTACCTGGTTTACGAAAAAGTAGTACAATGGCAGTTTTCCACAGCTGGGGCAGAACTCCTCGTGACCGAATAAGATTAAAGAGATGTAAGTGGACCACAAGGATTGATGGATGTAAATGCCGTCCAGCACAGCTGCCAATGATTGGCAAGTGGAAAGTGTTGACTCAAATTCTAGAAGCTTAAAAGACACATTGTAAGACTTTTTTCCACTTAAAGAAAAAGAAGTCTAAGGGCTCAAACTCTCTGGTAGATTTGGAGGAAAGAAACAAGGGGCAGAGATGGAGCCCCTGGGATATACGGACAAGATGATGACCAAGTTTGGTGGCAACATCAAGGGGGTTAGCTATACGACACTGGCAACCAAGGATGGAGCCAGGTCGGGAATGTATTTGCCACTCATTTCCCATTATTTTTTAAAGACTGCACTCACAGAGGAAGCCGAGTGGAAGTAGAAAATATCCCGAAAACAAATGATTTAGCTTCACAGATAACAGGGGCAGGCAGCTGCTCTCATCTTTTAAAATCAAGGAGCACTCTGTGGTTACTGTACGATATCTGCCCATGCAGCACATTTAAAGGATACGATGAGCACGGGGCAAGGACATCAAAGCACGCACCTCTGAAAAATCTGCTGGGTTTGGGTATAGATGTGAAGCTGCAGTTAAAATGAGGTCGAGAAGAGGTGTAAGTCATCAACGAAGGACAAAAAAAGATCCTCACTAAAAGCTCAGTCAAACTGCAACGTGGGCTGTGAGGAGGTGGCGAATACAAAGGAGAAGTAAGGATGATTGGAAAATGATCATTGTTATGCAAGTCCAGGAGGACAGACCACGTAAAGTCTAGTGCAGTTGAGGAAGAGCAAACCAAGAAATTAAAAATGGGTAGGAGCACCCATACTTAAAACATGGAGGGGGAGAGAGGTGAGAAATGCCTCCAACTGAATTCTGCAATGGTCGCAGTGAGACACCTCCTCGAGGAAATGGTGAGCAGTAAAATCGCCAAGTAACAGAAGGGGTGGTGATAAGGAAGAAATCAGAAATGCAACATGTGGGATAGATAATGCCTGAGAAGGAGAGAGATACAAACAGATTGTATACCACTTATTCAGGTGGATGCAGACTGCAGTGTAATGCAGAGAAGTATGAACAAAGAGCTGATGGTATGGAGTACCAGTGCATATAAAAAGTGCACTTTCATTAAAGGTTCCACTGGGAAAAGGATCCAATGGATATAATAAAACATAGCCCGAGATGGGACGGATAAAAAGTGGAGCGTAATTTGGGTTCTTGTAACCAAACACAAACTGAGAGAGCAACACCTCTGAGGCCTTGGTTATTCCACTGTAAGTAAGCCACGTTTTGTGAAAAAAAAGAATACAAAAAATTTGGGAAGGTAGAGGTATCTAACAGACTAGAGGGGTTAGAAAAGTCCACATGTGGAGGCAGTGGAAAATAAAAAAAGCAGTGAAGGGTTGGAATGCTGCAAAGAAAGGAGTTGTGCAGATGGATCAGTGTCCATCAGTGGTTTAGTCTCCACAATGTACTAGTTGGATATAGCTTCAATTGTTTCAGAGGATAAGGACGTTGCATGTGGATAATACTGGAGATAGAAGGGGGAAAAAGCAAGTAAAGATCGGGTGACGATAGAATTTACCAACGTGGGAAGACACGAGAGGTTAGAAGTAACTTGAGAAGAAGCTTGGGAAGGGATAGGAGAGGAAGGTACTGTATGAGGAGGAGGATGGACCTCCACACTTGCAACAGAATGAGTATGAGATAAAGATCCAGGTACTGAGACTGGAAATGAAAGAGATTTACCCTTAGGGGATTTGTTGGACTTTGAAGAAGTAGAGAGGCAAGGGGAAGGATCTGTTGTGCGAGGCAATGTAGACACAGAAGCTTGCTTGCAAGATGAAGATTGGAGAATAGTAGGAGGTGATGAGGTAGGGACCTCGGAGTCCAGGACTGCAAAAGAAGTAGATACAGTGGTGACAGTGGAAGGTGTGATTGCAGGGGAAACTGCAGGAATGGGGACCCCAGAAGTTGGGGGGTCTCTTAGTAACTCGAGAATAAGAAATACAAGTCTCCCTTGGAGGTGTAGATGAGAGACGACCATGGCATAATTAAAGCCTTCTGTCTCTTTGAGACAATGATTTTCACATTCATTCAAGGAAATCTGGCAATGACGAGAATAAGATGGATGAACTTCATGACAATTAAGGCAGGAAGGAGGTAGCCCACAAGATGTATTGGTATGGTTATCGGCACCACAGACTGGGCATTCAGCCATAGACCTGCAATATTTTGCTGGATTGCCAAATCACCAGCAATTTCTACACTGTTGTGGTGTAGGGGTCATCTGTCAGACTTGTAAACGTTGTCCCGCAATATAAACCGAAGATGGAAGGTCACAGCAACCAAAGTGAGCTACATTGCAGGGGTAGCATCTCCGCCCACGGGCAGGCAGTACATACGTGTCTACTTTAAGGATTGGGATGTCTTGGAGCATCTGATCAACAGTGGATGGCTTTGCAGAAGAGATCTTAATACCACAGATCCACTCAAAACCACAAAGGAGCAAATGGTGTCTTCATGTCAGGTATAGATGGTAGTTAGTAAAAATTGGCCAATTTGGGTTGCAACTTGTAGGACCAACATAAAGAAGGGGTTATGCAGCACCGTGTATAAAAAACTCAGGTAAGAAAGCTAAAAATTGTTGACAAATTTTCTGTGTTAATGTCTTATGTGGTTTCAAGATAATTATTTCCCCATGTAACACTAATACAACCCACTATAAAAACAAAGGCTTCCCATACCAGTCGACTAACACTCAGGTACCTATTTTACTGACAGGTGAAAGTGGACAGTATGTGCCTTAAGGAAACATGTCTAAATGTTTCCAGCTGTATTGGGGACTGACCCACAGATCTCAGTGTGTGAGCTGAGTGTGCTGGCAATCAGCTTGGGACACCTGAATTCTAATCCAATAAGACCTTGATCAACTGTTTGAGTTACCATAAAAATTGAAGTGAGTTTCTGTGGTGCTTTAGGTTCTCCTGTGGATGAATGCTCAGATCTGTGAAGAATGTGTCATTAATGTGGACCAATGACATAAAGAACAGAGAATGAGATAAGTGACATTAAGCATCAAGCCTTCATAAACCCAAGATAAGTTGTAATGAATTAATGTCACTGAGCAGGGACTCAAACCATGGCCCAGCTATCAGATTTAAAATATTACAGGATGTACTTTACTAATCCAGAGGGTTAGTTACCCCAGGGTAACCCATGAAAATAAGTGTGGCTTATTCCCAGTGGAGTCCTTTGATTCTCTTCCCCAGGATGCAACCTACAACAGTCAGCTAACACCTTACTCACTGGTATGTGAACAGGGACAATAGGCGTATGGAAATATCCCCAACACTTCCGCTCACCACATGTTTGAACCTGGGTCCTTCAGATGTGAGCCCAACAAGCTACAACTTGAACCATTAGCTACATAAGGTTATATTTCAGGAGCATAACCCATGCAATATATGTAAGGCCCTTTTATATGCAAATGCAGTAATGCCAGTACTTCTGCTTGGGTATGAATCACGATCTTTGAATGGCTGCACTGATGAGGTGACTGGAGGGAGCAGAGATGTCATATCTGAGATCAATGAAATATTTTGATAATTTAGACAAAATGGAGCAAGATATATTGACTAAGTGAATGTTTAAATCTACGATGTACTCAGGGAAGCACAAGGGACATTCTAGAAAGGATTGGAAAGTGACTTTCAGAAATAGTGTCTTAAGTGTCCAGCATTAATTAGGTTATATATTTGGACATCTGGACATGATACATAGTTGTACAAGGATTATAGTAGTTGGGTGTACATGCCAAAAGCCCCTTGTATGCAGAGCATTATAGGCAGGCTTAAAATTAACTTAGAATTAACAAGCAATGAAAGGTTCAGTGTTAAAAATTACAGTAAACAATTTACAATATGAAGTACAATTGAGTATTTGAAACAATGAAATTTGAACATATACTATAGCATTATAGTTGTGCAAATTTGTCACATTACAATGTATATCAAAAGATGATCAATTTGCTATACGTTGTCTTGAAGTTTTAGGATTTAAGTAATTGGGAGAATTATTGGTAATGTTAAATAATGAGTGGTGATTATACTGGCAAAAGAATACCGAGTGTTAATTATACTGGCATAATAACATTTTAAGAATTTCATATACTATTGGGGTGTGAAAAAGGTAATGGTGAAAGAATTAAATGAAACTGGTTAGCTAGACATCAGCTTTGGAGGCAGGCAGTACAGTGTCTGTAGTCTTCTGAAGGATGGGTGAACATGTTGTGGCTCTAAGGGTCAAATGAATTATAATGTTTCTTCCCTTCTGGAAAGACCGTGATGGGGATAAGTTTCCTCCTTTGGATCACCCTACTTTGGTGGGAAATGGCCAATGTAGTAATAAATATAATAAAAAGTGCAAGAATACATGCAAAAAGAGTAACTGGAATGTTAATCTACATGAATGTGAGATGCAGTAGTAACAATGTCTTTTGGAGGTATCTAAGAAAAGATTACCATAGAACCTTTTTTTTTTTTTAATTTTTCAAAATGCTACTCTTATACAGTGGACCCCCGGTTTACGATCACTCCCAATGCAACCAATTATGTAAGTGTATTTATGTAAGTGTGTTTGTATGTGTATGTTTGGGGGTCTGAAATGGACTAATCTAATTCACAATATTCCTTATGGGAACAAATTCGGTCAGTTCTGGCACCTGAACATACTTCTGGAATGAAATAATATCGTAAACTGGGGGTCCACTGTATTAAATGAAACTTGCAATTTTAGTAACTTCAGTATGTCATTAAAACAAGCATAGGCTTTATTAACCTTCCACCTTGAAGAAGACCCTGATGAACAAGATTCACTTTACAGAAGTAAAACATGCCATTTTCGTACAATTCACCAACCCAGTCCTGTCGCTGTGGCCGATGTCTTGGATTAAAGTTCTGAGGATAAGTTAGCTCCCCTGAAATCATATAGTGTATATATCAATAAAATTTTAATATTTTATTTTTTTTTTATTATCACACTGGGGCCGATTTCCCCCAAAGGCAGGGTGGGCCCCAAAAAGAAAAACTTTCACCATCATTCACTCCATCACTATCTTGCCAGAAGGGTGCTTTACACTACAGTTTTTAAACTGCAGCATTAACACCCCTCCTTCAGAGTGCAGGCACTGTACTTCCCATTCCAGGATCCAAGTCCGGCCTGCCGGTTTCCCTGAACCCCTCATAAATGTTACTTTGCTCACACTCCAACAGCACGTCAAGTAATAAAAACCATTTGTCTCATTCACTCCTATCAAACACGCTCACGCATGCCTCTGGAAGCCAAACCCCTCGCAACAACAAAACCTCCTTACCCCCTCTCCCAACCCTTCCTAGGCCGACCCCTACCCCGCCTTCCTTCCACTACAGACTGATACACCTTGAAGTCATTCTGTTTCGCTCCATTCTCTCTACATGTCCGAACCACCTCAACAACCCTTCCTCAGCCCTCTGGACAACAGTTTTTGGGAATCCCGCACCTCCTCCTAACTTCCAAACTACGAATTTCTCTGCATTATATTCACACCACACATTGCCCTCAGACATGACATCTCCACTGCCTCCAGCCTTCTCCTCACTGCAACATTCATCACCCATGCTTCACACCCAAAATAAGAGCGTTGGTAAAACTATACTCTCATAAAATTCCCCTCTTTGCCTCCAAGGACAAAGTTCTTTGTCTCCACAGACTCCTAAGTGCACCACTCACTCTTTTCCCCTCATCAATTCTATGATTCACCTCATCTTTCATAGACCCATCCGCTGAAACGTCCACTCCCAAATATCTGAAATACATTCACCTCCTCCATACTCTCTCCCTCCAATCTGATATTCAATCTTTCATCACCTAATCTTTTTGTTATCCTCATAACCTTACTCTTTCCTGTATTCACCTTTAATTTTCTTCTTTTGCACACCCTACCAAATTCATCCACCAATCTCTGCAACTTCTCTTCAGAATCTCCCAAGAGCACAGTGTCATCAGCAAAGAGCAGCTGTGACAACTCCCACTTTGTGTGTGATTCTTTATCTTTTAACTCCACGCCTCTTGCCAAGACCCTCGCATTTACTTCTCTTACAACCCCATCTATAAATATATTAAACAACCACGGTGACATCACACATCCTTGTCTAAGGCCTACTTTTACTGGGAAATAATTTCCCTCTTTCCTACATACTCTAATTTGAGCCTCACTATCCTCGTAAAAACTCTTCACTGCTTTCAGTAACCTACACCATACACTTGCAACATCTGCCACATTGCCTCCCTATCCACCCTGTCATACGCCTTTTCCAAATCCATAAATGCCACAAAGACCTCTTTAGCCTTATCTAAATACTGTTCACTTATATGTTTCACTGTAAACACCTGGTCCACACACCCCCTACCTTTCCTAAAGCCTCCTTGTTCATCTGCTATCCTATTCTCCGTCTTACTCTTAATTCTTTCAATAATAACTCTACCATACACTTTACCAGGTATACTCAGCAGACTTATCCCCCTATAATTTTTGCACTCTCTTTTATCCCCTTTGCCTTTATACAAAGGAACTATGTCACCACCATACAATTTTAATTCCATCCCCATACTTATGGTAGCCATGCAATGGGATCTACAACAGCCAATCACCTTAAACCCATCAATACCCAACAAAAATCAGCTACTAGAATAATCATTCAAGCAGGTTCCAGATAACACATACCCCTAGTACAGTAGGGCCCCACTTATACGGTGGGTTAGGTTCCAGGCTGTCGCCAGAAAGCAGACATCGTCAGAAGGCAGAACGCCATTTTTTTCCATTTATAAATGCATATAAATGCCAGAAAACAAGTTTACACTAAATTATATTAAGTTAGTAATAGAACTAGGCATTAAAAACACACAAAGTAAAATACATTCACAGTACATTCATTACTTATCTTAAAGCATATTTGTAATCTTAATGTAGGGAGAGAGGTGAGTAGTACTTATTTGTAGGAAGTCAGGTGTAGGTAGCCCTGGCTCCCCGTCTCATATTTAATATATGATATTTAAACATCCCAGAGTTAAAATACACATATAGTACACTCACTATTTACCTTAAAATATGTGTAGTCTTAATATAGGAAAAGAGGTGAGTAGTATTTATTTGTAGGAAGTCAGTGTAGGTAGCCGGTAGGTGTAGCCTGCCTGGGCTACACCTACTGGCTACCTACACTGTGGCTCAGAGTCAAATTATTAATATCGACATATCTTGTTCACTGAATTTAATCGTTTCTAACAACTACCTTTAGATGCCATCATAAACGAAGGGAGAATTAATAATAATTCAAGGCGAAAATTGTAAACAAAAGCGGAGTGGGGGAGTGGCTGGGCCAAACGCAGATTCATACACGTTTTCTCTGATGGCTAAGCAGAGAAAACATAATGTTGTCCCTCCACCCGGCTACCACACAGGTCCACAAGTATTATCAGAGCACATATAAAATATGCAATAAATGCCAGACAACAAGTTTACACTAACTTATATTAAGTTAGCAATAGAAATAGGCATTAAAAACACAATAAAAGTTAAGATACACACAGAGTACACTTATTACTTACCTTAAAATATTAATATTAATGAGTGAGAGGTGAGTGGCAGGGTGTTTATTGAATAAAATCAGAATGGCACACCATCATCCTCTAACTTGGCATTAAAGCAAGCGGCTTACGACTCCTCTTTTTATCACAGCTAAGCTTAGACGCCATCGTCAATGAGAGCCAACAAGTTAACGAAAGAGTAAACGAGAGAGAGAACGAGATACAGAGTTCAGACAATGTAAGAATACAAACTGAACAGGTAGTGGGTGATCACTTGGTCAGGCGAAATAAATGCGTATTAATGTGTGTCTACTTTTAGTTCATTCACGTATGTTTATAAGAGTTTGTAAAACATTTACCTCATCTTTTTTTATTATAATAATAATTACCTCAAAATACAAATACTCTTACATTGTGTACAAGTTAGTACAGAATAAACAAACAGCAACACACCATTTTTAGAGTGAATGAAGATATTATTATTATTAATTACAGTGGTCCCTCAATTATCGTCCTTAATCCGTTCCTGGAAGTGGGACTATTATCGAAATAGACAATTTTCGAATCAATTTTCCCCATAAGAAATAATGTAAATCCAATTAATTCGTTCCAAACACCCAGAAGTATCAACAACTATTTTTTTTTTTACCTAAAAGATAGATTTACATGCACAAAAGAATGAACATTCAACATGACAGTTACCTTTATTGAAGGCTGTTGATGAATGGAAGACAGAGAGGAGGAGAGAGGGAAGAGAGGTTATTGTTTGGAAGGGGACTCCCCCTCCATAAGGACTCTAGGTCACTGCAGGGGTTACTTCCCTAGCATAAAAATAGATTTACATGCAGAAAAAAATGCCAAATAAATGTAAAGCACTAATAAAATGTATAAATGAACATTGGTAATAGGGGTAGTTGATGAGTGGAACGGTCTGCCTAGTAGGGTGATCGAAGCTAAAACATTGGGTAGTTTCAAATTTAGGTTGGATAAATACACGAGTGAGAGGGGTTGGATTTGAGTCGGACTTGCACCTGAGCTTATTGCTTGTTCTGTTAGTGGGTTGGATTTGTGAAGGACCGGCCTAGTGTGGGCGAACAGGCTTATTGCAGTGTTCCTCCTTTATTAACTCACTGTACTTAACTCAGTGTCTTGTGTGCTCCCCGTGGACTGAACCAAGATGCCCTCAATCGAGCAACTTTACCAGCAGCTTAAGGAAGAATTGAGGGTTCGTAGTAGTCCTCCTGTTTCAAGTCCTTAGGTCAAGAAGGGAACATGGACAGTGGCTGGACAGCATGAGACGAAGTTGACGATCAAGAAGACGAATGGAAAGGTAGAGACGACGAAGAAGAAAGAGACTGCTGTGGAAACTGTTGTGGAAACATCCATTGCATTCTCGGTGCTACCCGACGAATGTGATTCGACTACTGGGAACGCCACTACAAACAACACCAAGGAAGGTAAGAATATTGTTGTTGTTGAGGATAGCCAAGTTAGATATATGGATAGGGCTTTCTGCTTGAAGGACAGGAGTAGGAGACAGAGAGTTTGCTTTCCTGGAGCTGGGATGGAGGACATTGTTAGCCGGCTTGACAACATCATGAACGGTAATGGGATCAATCCCATCATCTGCCTCAGTGCTGGAGGCAATGATGTAGGCAAGCGCAGAAGTGAAGACTTAGAAGGTTCAAGACAGCAATAAACAGAAGGGAGGGGGGGCCCTGTTATATGTGGCATTTTGCCAAGAAGGGGTGTTGGAAATGAATGGTTGTCCAGAGCAATTGGTATTAATTGCTGGCTGGATAAACACTGTAAGGATAATGCAGTACCATTCATTGACAACTGGGACAACTTCTATGGCCGAAATGACATGTATGCCAGGGATGGGGTTCACTTATCCAGGGCAGGTGTGGGTTTTCTTGCTAGCTCAGTTGAGGGGGTTGTTAGGACTTTAAACTAGGATTAGTTAGTGGTATGGGTTTAGAAATGATAAAAAATGAGTATGGATATATTGACTTATGCTCTGATATTAAGAATCTTAATAGTAACTGTCATGGAGTAACCCTAGGTAATGATAATTTCAGAAATTGTGCAAAAACAAAGATGAATAGGAAAAATGTGCAGAAGAAAAAACATATAATGGTATTTTATGCTAACATCGAAGTGCAAGAAATAATATTAATGAACTATGTTTGATAGCATGTGCTGGGAACTTCGATGTCATTGCATTAACTGAAACGTGGTATGATTTAAAGAGTCGGGATATGATTGCTGAGTGTAATATTCAAGGGTTTAAGTTGTTCCATGTGGATAGATGTTGTGGGAAGGGGGGAGGAGTTGCATTATATGTTCGAGAAA